GAGAGAGGCAGCAGCGCGATGAGGAGGTGGCAGCAAAGAGCTTGCATTGGCTCTTGCCTATCTCACCTTGCTGCCTCTGTAGAAGACAGCAAGGGGGCGGGCAGGTGGGTCTGTGGAGCTGGCACGTGAGGGGAGCCTGTTTGAAAGCCAGCTTCCTGCACGTGTGTGCTCAGCCTGCCCCCCTCACCCTCTGCACTGTTGACACTCTATTAGAAGCCTGCTCCTCACGGGCACCAGAGGCAGCAAGGGGAGGGGAGTCCATGTAGTCAACAAGATTAACCAATAAGCCAAGGCTTATCGGTTGAATGTGTAGTTGACTACATGTTGACATCCCTATTACATTCCTTGGTTTATAAAGACTTTATACATCATTAAACAGCTGAGACAAAAGAAAGTGAGTAAGTTAAATAACAATGAAGAGGGCTGAGGGGGAGAGCAAAACAGAAACAAATCCTTACCTTGAGACTTTTGGCAGATAAAGCCATAATTTTTCTCACAGCTTTCTAAGTACCATTTTCCCGTAAAATGAAAATTAGGGTTATTTGAGACCAAGGTACACAATGAAACTTGTTCTTGAATATTAACACCGTCATATTCCTGACCCTGTAATAAATGTATATCGAGATAATGATAAACACTGCCTGAAAATAAATAGATAATTCTTAACTGATTAAAATAAAAATAATTAAGAGAGAAAATACATGGAATATTAATTAACTGACAGTCACTAAACATGAACTTTCCAATATACATTATCATAATTAAAGATTGAAACATCATAATGAAAAATGTGCATAATTAAGTTGGAAGAATTTGAAATCAGAACTAAATATTTTTCTGTGCATAAAGCAATATTCTGCTTAGTACCCTTTATGAAAATTTTGGTTCCCCAGTCTCTCTGGGATAAATGTAAAAAACCTGATTAACACTTGGTATGCTTCCAATTTTATGCCGTCAATAGCTGTAACATGGAGAGGGGACGACTTCAACAATTTGGTAAGTGATCTATGATATTAATGGCAGGAATGTGGAGTTTGAGAAGAGTTTGGGTACAGGAGGGAGCTCTGGATAAGAGATTTGGGTGCAGGAGAGAGTGTGAGTTCTGGGAGGGAATTTGGGTTCAGGAAGGGGCTATGATCTGAGGTATGGGGACAGAGAGGGCAAGATCATGGAGGAAGTTTGGGTGCAGGAGGGGGTTGTGACCTGGGGCAGAGGGTTGGGGTGCATGAGTGAGGTGCCTGGTGCAGGTTCTGGTCGGGAGGTGCTTACTGTAGATGGTTCCTGATTGGCAGCCCAGAGGGACTCTCAGGCAGGCTCCCTGTCTGCCATGGCTTCATATGTCACTCAAAGCAGCTGGCTACTGGGGCCAGCATGTGTCTCTCTGTATGGTGCACCCCATGGGGAGAAAAGGTAGCTGGTCTCTGTGGCTACGGCTACACTGCCGTTTTTTTGCGGAAGAAGATATGCAAATCACGCTTGTATTTGCATATCTTCTTCCAATTATTTTTACAGAAGAGGTTTTGCTGCTATTTGGCCCTGTGTAGACGGGGCCAAATGTTGCAAAAAAACCAACAACCCCTCTTTCACAAAATCCTGTAAACCTCGATTTACGAGGAATAAGGGGTTTTGTGAAAGAGAGGTTTTTTGTGACACTTGGCCACGTCTACATGTGATTTGCATATTTTCTTCCACAAAAAGAAACGGCAGTGTAGCCGTAGCCTGTGTGCTGCATGCATCCACAAGCACTGCCCCTGCAACTCCCATTGTCCAGAAACCCACCAAGGGTGGCTGTGAGGATACTACTGGGGGTGGGGAGAGGGTGTGGAGACCCACCCCCACTCCAAGGGGTATGCAGTGCAGAGAGACACAAGCTGGCCCCAGGGTTGTGGCAGCCAAGGAGCCTGCTGGGATGTGGCAGGCTATATCTAAATGTTTGGCAGGCCAGATTTTGCCCACCTGTGCTGTAGTAGTAAATGATGCAATGTGTGTGTCTGCCTGATTGGTGGTGTAAATCAAATAGCTAGATATCTACAGAGAATAATTTTTGCCCATATCTAACTGGACCTGTGAAACTGAGCCCCCAGTTTTGAGGACATGCAAAAATGAACTCAGGTTGAACCTGTCAAAATCAGGACATATCCTTTAAAAAAATCACTGATTAATATGTACAAAGCAACACCTCCTCACAAATATATTTCAAAAAACTTACATGAGCTGCTTCAACTGGAGACCAATTGGAATATACTTTCGGTTGTTCATTCACCCATTTGTCATAATCATCACTCTGCAGACCTATCCAAACACTAGTCCTCTGTCCATACAGATTCATTGTTATGAAAGCTGAAAAAAGAAAGGAATGGATTTTAAGACACAATTTAATATAAGCTATCTAGCCACAATAAGCACATTTTTAAAAAAGGATAAACTTTATTACCAACTAATGCCCTTATTAGTTACTGCCCTTATTAGAAGGAAAGAACATTTGCAGCATCTCATTTCCATCTAATCTTAAATGTACTGGTACTGTTTGCAGAGGCGCTATTTCAGATTTTGGTAGTGGGAGGGAGGGATCTGTCCATGCTGTGATGAGGAGGGGAGAGAGTGAAAGCTTGGGAGGGGCAGACTAAGGACAGAGGCTTCAACAGTGTTACTGAGCATGCTCTGTAAAAGCCACGCACCAAATGGAGAGGGCGGGAAGCCAACCCCATCCGCCCTCCCCCCACATGCATCATCTCTATCCAGGGGCAACCGAGGTACTGGAAAACTCTAGTTTTTGGCATACAACTTAGCAGTTAGCTGATAGGAGCACTGTATCTAATTCCTATATATAAAAAAGAAAATTAAATAAATATTAGACCCACTCATCTCTAACACTAACATATTCTGACATTGTAGCAAGTCACTTACGGGACGGGACACAGGTTAGCCTTAAAATTTTAATGTATATTCTTACTTTGTTACTAACTTTATGGAGACAGATAGACCCTGTCAGGACTCCTAAGGCATGTCTACACTACAGAGTAACAAGGCGAGCATCCACACAGCAAGCGCATTATTTCAAAATTGTTTTGAAATAATGGGCTTGCTGTAGAGAAATAATAACCCCTCATTCTATGAGGAATAATGCCTGTTTTGAAATTGATATTTCGAAATAGGGTGAATTTGGATGCTCAACTGTGCTTATTTCAAAATACTTAGCCTCCAGAGCGTCTCACAGCTACCTTGGTGGCATCTTTCTCTACATCCTTCAAAACTCTATAACTTCCCTTCTCCTGCAGGGTTTAAATTGCACCAGGAGTTGCAGCAGGAAGTCTAATAGCTGGTGACTGCTTTGCAGCAGGTCCAGTTCCATGGTGGAAGTGCTGTCACGTCCGCAAGGGCAACCAGAGCACATGGTGTGAGTTTGCCATCCGTCCAGGAGGTAGGCAATGGAGAAGAGTGTGAGACACGATTGCAGAGGCGAGCCCGTTTAAGCATGAACCTCAGGAAGCAGCTATCAGAAGTGACTGCTGTCCTGATGCCCTGCCCGGAGTGCTTCTGGGGGGCTTTAAATGCAATCACAGTGTGGACTGATATAAATCTGCGCTATTTCACTGGGGATTTGTAGTGTGGATGCACTATTTCAAAATAAATGCGTAGTGTAGACATAGCCCTCGGCTCTATCTCAGCTCTGGATGAGGAATGGGGACTAATCGGTTATAGCAAGACAGCAGATACATTTAGCTCTATATAAGAATATCAGAATGGCCATATTGGGTCAGACCAAAGGTCCTTCTAGCTCAGTATCCTGTCTGCTGACAGTGTCCAATGCTAGGTGCTTCCAAAGGAATAAACAGAAAAGGCAATCATCATGATCCATCCCGTCACCCATTCCCAGCTTCCGGCAAACAGAAGCTAGGGACACCATCTCTGCCCATTCTGGCTAGCAGCCAATGATGGCTACTCCTTGAACTTATTTTGTTCTTATTGGAACTCTGTTATAGTCTGAGCTTTTCCGCCATTTCCTGGAAAAGAGTTCCACAAGTTGATTGTGGAAAAATTATTTATTTTGTTTGTTTTAAATCTGCTGCCTATAAATTTAATTGGGTCAGCTTCTTGAGTTATGTTAGTGAAGAAATTAATAACATTTCTTATTCTATCTTTCCACACCATTCATGATTTTCTAGACATCTAATCTATCCCCCTGCAAACCTTTAGTCATTTATTTCCAAGGTGAAAAGTTCCAGTTTTGTTTATCTCTTATATGGAAGCTGTTCCTTACCCCCTAATCATTTCTGTTGTCCTTTCTGTACCATTTCCAAATACAATATATCTGGGTTTTTTAGATGGGGTGACCAGATCTGTATACAATATTTAAGATGTGGGAATACCATGACTTTATATAGAGGCAATATTTTTGTCTTCTTATCTATTCCTCTAATAATTCCCAATATTCTGTTAGTTTTTTATTTTTTTGACTGCCACTGCACATTGAACAGATGTTTTTTGGGGAACTATCCACAGTGATTTCAAGATCTCTTTCCTGAGTGATAACAGCTATTTTGTATCTATAGTTAGGATTATATTTTCACATGTGCATTAGTTTGTACTTATCAACACTGAATTCCATCTGCCCTCATGTTGCCCAGTCACCCAATTTTGTGAAATCCCTTTGTAGCTCTTTGCAGTCAGCTATGGATTAGTCCCTGTTCACCCCTTTTTCAAGAACATTTGTAAATTTAACACAGTAATCCAAATGCAAATCCCAGCAGCATAATACTCATTCCTACTCTTCCCCCCCTTTCTTTTAAGTGGAGTACCAGCAATGTTTTCAGGATGATCCAATGATCCTTCAATTACTGGAATGCTCAATCTTTTGCTATTCTTAATCACCCTATCTTCATGTATCGAGGGTGCTAGTTTTTCATCATTATCACTATTTTTAATTAAGTAGATTTTACAATATTATAATGTTGTATTCCTAATACAGGAAATTTAAAAAGCAGTTTTTGAAAAATATATTTTTCTGTCTTTGGCATTTCTAATTCATGCATCACCTTAGTATGTAAGCACAAACTGTTGGGCAAACAATAACTAATTCTTAAAACACACTTCTGAAGAATACAAGGAAATATTATACCCATTTGAAAAACTGAAGAATGGAGATTTTAAAAGCATTGTTCAAAGTCACTTGAGAGAGCTATTAGTATAGCCATGTTTGAAATGTAAGTGTTCTTCATTCACAGTCCTGTAATTAAGACTATACTTTACTTCTTAATAAAACAAATACAATTTTATCTTTATTGCAATGCAATACAGTATGATCTGTAATGTACCTTGTTCTGCTTCATTTTCAATAGAAGCAAGTGACCCCTTCTGTTCACTGCAGAAAGTCTGGGCAGAGTACCAGTTCCTCAGATGGTCTGGATTCTTTGGAATTTGTATCAAGAAGCACTATTTTCCAACAACAGAAAATACTTATTTTATCTATAATCTAGATTTTAAAATTAGTTTGGTGATTGTTAAAGTTACTACAGTCTTCTGATTACCCATGAAATAAGTACAACAAGGGCAATGGCACACCATTGTGTTTGAACCCTAAGCAAGAATGAGAATCATTTCAAAGGGAGATAGGGCAGGTCAATGTCCATGCTCTTTCCATATCTAGGCCTCTCTTGAGTTTTCATTCTTATTAACATTCAGAAAGGGTACATCTACACAGCAGCATTATTTCAGAATCATGTGCATCTACACTACATGCCTTTATTTTGAAATAATGTCGAGCTGGAGGACTTACTCCGACCCATGGCAACCCTCACTTCACAGGTGTAAGGGAAGTCTAAGGATAAGTGTTCTTCCTTCAACTTCCTGCTGGGTAGACAGCACCAAAAACTGAATTAAGCTATTTCGACTTAAGCTACTAAGTTGATGCAGCTGAAGTTGCGTAGCTTAATTTGACTTTAGCCATGCCGTGTAGACGTATCCTAAGAGTGAAAAATCAAGATCAGAGTCAAGAATACTGTGATGTGGACATTTGTCTAGCAAGAACTAGACTGAAGCCATCAAATCATACAGGCCATTAAAAAAATAAACATTTATTTACATAAGCAAATCTCTTCTACATTCTTGGCATTAATTTTCAGTCACAATTGATCAGGATGAGATTCTATACTTTTTAAAGTTGAAATGTTTCTTGGGCCAAATTTACCCCTGAAGCCAATAGAGTTTAACCAGGAATGAGTCCAACTGTCTGTCCTGGGATTACAGAAACCATAGGGTTAATATAAACCAAAAGATACCAACTCTAGAGTTTGAATAGATTTCAGTTTATAATCTGTTATGTACAAGAAAGAGTGCGACAGTTTTTGAAGTAAAAATACAGGGGCTCCCTTTATCACAGTCTTGTCACATTGGAATAATATTTTAGGAGATAAAACCCTTCTTAGTGCACATGCCTTAATTGGGCCATGGGATACGGAAAAGGTTAAGGCCCCAATCCTGCAGACACTGAACATATGTGACACAAAAACACAAGTACAGGCAGTCCCCGGGTTACGTACAAGATAGGGACTGTAGGTTTGTTCTTAAGTTGAATTTGTATGTAAGTCGGAACTGGTACATATTGTAGGGGAAACTCTAGCCAAACATTTCTCCAGAGCTCAGTTTTATTCTCCCACACTTCACTTCCCTCAGTCCTTTATTCTCAAGCTGAGGTGTCTGCTGAGAAAAGCCGCTCCGCATCTCCCTGGTCTGCTGGGGGGCGGGGGAGGGGGGCGCTAGCTTCGCGTCTCCCTGGTCTGCTGGGGGGAAGCAGCTAGTGCAGGGTTGCCTCACCCCGTTTGTAAGTAGGGATCCGATGTAAGTCGGATCCATGTAACCCGGGGACTGCCTATACAGTGAAGTCCCTATCATCCAACCTAAACGGGACTGACACATAGTCGGATTACTGAATATGTCGGATAATACGGACTCTACGGTAGAGAGCAACGGAACAGCTGATGCCACTCCTGTGGGGGATGTCCCCGGCAGGAGCGGCATCAGCTGTTCCCTTGCTCTCTAGGAGAAGCTGCTGTTGCTCTTGCCTGGAAGCGTCCCAGCAGGAGCGGCAGGAGCTGCTCCTAGAGAACAACAGAACAGGTGATGCTGCTCTGCTGGGGACGTTTTGTCCCGGCAGGAGCGGCATCAGCTGTTCCCTTGCTCTCTAGGAGAAGCTGCTGTTGCTCTTGCCTGGAAGCGTCCCAGCAGGAGCGGCAGCAGCTGCTCCTAGAGAGCAACAGGGCAGCAAGCGGGCCTGGCCCGCGCTGTATCCGACTTTGTCCCCGGGAGCTGCAGGGACGGATAAAGCAGAGTGTCAGATTACTGGGTGTCGGTTAATCCGGACTCCACTGTAACTTCATATGCAGGCATACCCATTTTACTCAACAAAATCATAACATTTTATAACTTAATGGAACTATTTGTGTACATAAGTACTGATCAGCATAAGCATTTGCAGAATTTGGGCCTATGTTTATATGCCTAAAAACTCTGTTATCAAAAGGGGAAAAATGTTCTTAATAATAAGTAATATTTTTAAATAGTCACTATCGTAAGTTTACAATGAGTTTTGAACAAACAAAAATACACTTTTTTACCTTGAATCCAAAGTACAGCCATCCTTTGGGACATACTCCTTGATGGTTCTGGCCTCTTAGAATTTCTCTCTCTATTTTCCATACAGTTTTACGCTTACAAATAGAAGGAAGAGAAGTGGTACAGTTTTCATCACCCCAAAGTCCTGTGAAAAATAATTATAACAATTATATTAATATATTCATGTTAGAAATGTTGCTATGTACATCAATGTGATGACTAGAAATTACTATTTTTCAGATTTATTATTAATATTTCTATACCTTTATTGGCCAAATGATACAAGGTCCTAAATTCAATTCAATGATATTTCTTTGTATGTCTTTTTATATTAGAGGTGCACAAGAACTGGCATATACATTCCATTGGAAACACTGTCATTTTCAATTTTGTTTTCATTCATCTGAAATTTGGAGTTTTGTTGTGAAAGGAAAATTCAGAAAAAATTTTGATTTGGAACCACTATAATATTTTATTGCAGTATAGCTGAAATGTTTTGTTTGTATTATTTTGATTAATTTAGTTTATGATATTTAAAACATATTAAACATATTATATTTGATATAACATTTAAATATTTTAATTTAATATGCACAACTAAACAAAAGGAATCAAAACTGTTCTATCAGAACAAAATTGTTTTAGCACTATTGGAGTGAAACATTTAGACATTTTTTCTGTTGAAAATTTTGTTAGAATCAACATGTTCCTACTAACAATTTCAATTTCAACAAAAGTGTCTATGGACATTTTTTAACAGCTCAAATCTGTATAACACAACAACTTTTGAAAACCACATCTGATCAAGTCCCAAATTTGAAAAAACAGAAAAGTTTGATTTGCACTAAAGTCAGACCCACAGACTGCCTGTTTGGTGCTGGAGGCAGAGAAAAGTCTCTGCTGCCCTCTGCTGCTGCCTACAATTACCACAGAAGCTTATTTGCACATTCCCTTGCTTATGTTAGCTGAGTTTTACACCAATCTGGGGACCATGCTCCCATGTTGGTCAGCCCCCCAAGCTAGGTCTCTTGCCAGGTGTCCAGTTTTTGATTGGAACAGTCAAAAAGGGACTCTGGTAGCCCCAGCCAGCACTGCTGACACTAAAAATCTGGTTGACAGGCTCCCTACCTGGCTCAATATGGCTCCCAGAAGTGGCAACATGTCCCTCTGACTCCTTGGTGGAGGGACATCTAGGGAGCTCCATGTGCTGTCCCCATTCCATGCACCAGCTCTGCAGCTCCAATTGGCCAGGGCCCCCAGCCAATGGGAGCTGCAGAGCTTGTGCCTGTGGGTGAAGGCAGCATGTACCATGCACAGCCACTAGGTTGACAGGCCTCCACCTAGGAGCCAAGGGACACTAAGCTACTCCCAGGGAGCACCCCCCCCAAAGTAAACAATGCCTGGATCTTGCTCCCTGCACCCCTCTCATACCCAAATACCTTGCCCAGACCTGAACCGCCTCCAGCACCCTAACTCTTTCCTGGAGCCCGTACCCTAACCCCCTCTCCTTACCGTGGCGTCCTCTCCCACATCCTGATTCCCTCGCATCTGGCCCTACCCTGGATCCTGTGCCCCCAGTCGGAAGCCTCACCCCCTCCTGCATCCCAACCTCTTGTCCCAGCCCTGTGAAAATGAGCAAATGAGTGAGAGTGCAGGAGAGTGAGCAACACAGAGAGAGAGGAAGATGGAGTGGGCAGGGCCTTGGAAAAGAGGGGGACAGGGCAAGGATGTTTGGTTTTGTGTGATTAGAAATTTGGCAACCCTATCCTCCTATCTAGCCAGCCAAACCCCTCCTCCAGGCTGGCCAATGGACACTTTTCACCCCCTATATGCTCCTTGCCCATTCTCTGACCAGACCCCTTCATCCTCATCTACATTACCCTTAAGATGGGTAACACGCACATTGGTCTACATGAGCAATGAAGTGTGTAACTCTCTAGTGGCAATTTACTGCTGAGCATTGTACAATATAAAGGGTCCGATCTGTTGCTCAGAGGTGCTGAGCATCAGCAGCAATCTGGGGAGGAGGAGGAGAAGTGGAGTGGCAGCTCAGTTGAGCTACTATGCTCTAAAATCTTCCTGACTCTGGTGGTAGACGGTGATGACCTTTACTGGAAAACAAAAAAGTAGGAAATCACAGAGTCTCCTTATAACTCAGCCTAAGAGTAACAGGAAGGTCCCATTTTGTCTGATTTCATCTGTTCTTTTCCTTACAAGGTCTGTAAAACATCTTCACTTTTAGCCATGAGGACAGCCACACGCTCTCTGGGAACACCACAGGGTCTTGGTTACTCCAAGATGGGGCAATTGACACTACTTCAGGTGATGCAATCTATGAGCCTTTCTACTAAGCAGTAATACCACTTGCCTATATATTTCATCTTTGCTTACCCTCATCATCACTTCAAAACACTGCTTCTTACAAGGCCACAAAACAACAAAACATTTGCCACTGAACCTACTCTCAAAATGGAATCTATTTTGACAAACAGCAACTATCTCTTTGGTTGACACTTAGAACTAACAGTACTGCCAACCCCAAGCATTCAGGTTCTTTTTAAAGCTTTATTTCTGCTTTTTGAGCTTAGGGTGAATTAGGGATGTTAGTGAGCAGTTGTCTCTATGAGAGGCACCAAGGGGAAAGAAGGGGGGAGGAGTTGGTACTGGGTGGAGACTGCTTAAAAGCTCCCTACCACAGTCTCCGCAGTGCCGCCTGTCCCCTCCCCTGCAGCCTTTTGTCTGCAGAAGTCGCAGCAGGAAGCTGGGCCCCTGCCTATGGACAGGGGCTGCCGCCACCAAGCAGCACCCGGTTCACGGAGGCCCGGGCTGGCCGTGCGCAATCCATGGCCAGTCCTGGCTGCCACAAACAGGGGCTGCTGGATTCAGTGCGAGCCGGGCAGCTCTTACTACATTTAAAATGCAGAGCTGTAGCATGGGTGGCTCCCAGAGCCAGGACTGCTCAGTCCCCTGCTGTGGCTCTGCAGAGTGGTCCTTACCGACTAATCGTGTAGTCGATACAATTGTATCGACTACACGATTAGCAAGATAACCACAATTTAACATCCTTAGGGTGAACCTTGTTACATTTTTTATCATTTCATTTCCACAAGGGCTAGAAAGTTAATTTAATTTAATAAAAAACCACTAATGCTGGAACACTTAAATTATAAAATGACATAAGGAAGTGGGGCTTTAAGAAAAACACCACATATCACAAGATACATGATAAAAGTCATGAGCTGGCAATGCTATAATTTTGATTACAGATAACAGCAAAAATACAGATTTAATGAATAATGTAAAAAGGTGATAAGGGAATACAAAACTGTACCAACAATTCCTAAGCAAACTGGCTAAAGAACCTAAACTGAGCTAGAGCATTGAATTAGTACAATTTTGTACTGGGGAAAGTATAGTTTATAAAAGGATTGAAAATCATTACTAAATTCATCTGACTCACTGGGATGAACAACTCAGAGTTGGCAGTGCATTAGCATTACTGCTGTTTAAAACCAAGTTCTAATATGCACTGAACATTCATTATATGATTGAACTATTTATAATTTTGATACTGAATATTTAGAACCTTAATATATTTGCTTGAAATGCTTTGACTCAGCATGTGAGAATATTTTCAAGTTATTTTCCTTACTACTTTATTCAAAATAAGTGTGTCACTATCTAGGGGCTACTTGTTGAAAAATAAATTAGTCTGCGAGGTTTTTTTGCATGTTCTAGCAAAATATAAATCTCAATCTAATTTAGCAATAAAAAGTGAAATAACCCCTAAAGGCTGATAAAATTACTTTTGGATTAATACAATAAAGAAAAATGTAAAAGTGACCTGTATGTGATGAAATGAAGCCACATCTTTCCCCTTGTGTGCGCACAGATCTTTCTCTTTCTTCATTCCAGTTCTCATAAACTACTGGCGACCCGTCTCTCCAGCTGCACCGAAACATTAAACATTTAGTGATACTCTCTTCTTTTTTCTTCACCTCAAATTGCCACATACATTAATAAATGCCTCCAAACAGGTAAGGAATAGAAAATGTCCTTTAATAGGCTCACAAAAAACGCTATTCACATTGTTGTGTTGTATCCATTATAGCTCTTTCTGAAGAAATACTATTCAAATACGAAAAACAGTGAGACATTCTGAACTACAGCCCCTCTCCCTCTGCCAACAAACTGAGTTCATCCTTCACATCCCATGCAGTCATAAAACAGTCTTATTTTTACAAGTTGCCTTGCCGTTTGGCAACAAAATCTTTCAATTAAAAAGACAAGACAAGATAAAACAATCCCAAGTACATCTTTAAGTACATTCTTACCGAAATCCATCACTAGGTACTTCGGAATGCAATCCAATCCACCAGCGTAAATCACTTTTTGATAGCTGTAAGAATTTTTGTAACCAGAGTTTAATTACATATTGTTCTGCTGGTAAAGCACAGACAACACTTAAGGCCCACTACTGCTCCCATCAAGGTCAATGGGAACAACATCAAGTCCAAATCCCCCTTGCCTTAATTTGGGGCTACTCGACTTTGGAAGCTACGGGGGCCACAATGATACTCACAGCACATCCCGAGAGCCACAACTTAAGTGTGGTGGCATATACATGTAAATATATATGCAAATATATGCAAATAGCTTCTTTCACACTGACAGGCATGAATACAAAGATTAAGGCAAGACTACACAACATGGAGGCCCCATTTAAGTCAGTTCTGCTGATATTAATACAATACAATACTTACCCAATTTCCACCCATATGACAGCACTTTTAATGAGCAATGACAGTCCAGGAATTTAACTACTAAAAAGCATATTAACAGAAGACCCTTATATTGACTACTTTTTTGTTTTGTTTCGCACCCGCGGGCTGCGTGCTGAGCCGTAAACCCAAACTGCACTGTGGGCCGCAAACAAATGGGCTGCGGGTCACATGCAGCCCACAGGCCACATGTTGAGTAGCCCTGCCTTAATTCCTGTGAGCCAGCCCGTTGACTTCACTGTGACTATTCATGCAAGGACAAGAACATTTGCCCTGGGTTTGTATTTGGAGCTCTAATTTACAGAGGATAAGTTGCCAATTTTAGGGATTTATAGTTTGTAAAATTTTGTTGTGGGATGCAATTTGCTATTCAAATCTGAACCTGAACTTGTTTTGTTTACTTATTTTTTTTAAAATCAGGTAATTCATTTAACTTATTTAATGCAAACATACCGTTTTAGTATTAAAATAATGTTAAAAAGTCATTAAAGTTTACAAAATTGGTTACTGAACATTTTAATGTCTTTATTATTACAACTCTACACTACATATTTCACAGTGAGTGTTCTTTTTAATCCAGAGAATAGATACAATACAGACAAAAACAATATAAACTCCTACTCATTGCCCTGCCAAAATGCCTTTCCCCTGAACTGTGGGTGGGGACTTCTCCTGGGGTACTATTTCAGATTTATTTGGGGAGGGGGTCAACTTTAACCATGATTCCAGGACCTACTTACGGACTTGAAAACTCTAGATTTCTGGCAGATAATTTAGTGATTAGCTGACAGGAGTCCTGTATCTAATTTCTATATAAAAGAAGGACACATAAAATTAGATCCACACAGCTCTAATAACAACATGTTTTGAAATCTTGTGGCAAGTCACTTGAGGAACACTGTTGGGTTTAGAATTTTAATATATATTCTTACTTTGTTACTAACTCTGAGGGGAGAGGGAGAGAGAGAGGTGCCCATCAGAACTTCTGGGTTCTATCTCAGCTTTAGATGATCACTGGGGCCTAGTGGGTTACAGCAGGAGGCAGACAGGTCTGGGTTCTATGTAAGAATATCAGAATGGCAATTTTGGGTGAGACCAAAGGTCCACCAAGCCCAGTATCCTAGTTTCTGACAGTGCCCAATGCTAGGTACTTCAGAGGGAATCAACACAACAGTCAACTGCATGTAATTGAGTAATTCATCCCATCACCCATTCCTTGCTTCTGGCAAACAAGCAAGGAACCTGCAGAACATGGTGTTTGATCCCTGACCACACTGGCTAACAGTCATTGCAGGTCCTATTCTCCATGAAATTATCTAGCTCTTCTTTAACTCTGTTATAGTCTTGGCCTTCACAATATCTTCTGTCAAAGAGTTCCACAGGTTGCTTATCTGCTGCTTATTAATTTCATTGAGCGACTCCTACTTCTTCTGTTATTTGAAAGAATAAATAACACCTCTTTATTCCATTTTTCCATACCATTCATGATTTTATAGATCTCTGTCATGTCTCCCCCTTAATCATCTCCTTTCCAAACTGAAAAGTGCCAGTTTTTTAATCTTTACTCATATGGAATTTATTTAGTACTCCTAATCATTTCTGTTTTCCTTCTATGCAAATTTTCCAAATCCAATATATCTTTTTTGAGATGGCGTGACCAAATCTGCAAACATTATTCAATATGTAGCTGCACCATGGATTTATACACAATGTGGTCATTTCTGTCTTATTATCGATCTCTTTCCTAATGAGTCCCAAAGTACTGTTAGTTTTTTGATTGCTAATCTACATGGAGCTAATATACAAGAAACACTTTGTTTCTTATCTTTTAACCAGAGTGCCTGACAATGTTTTTATGATAATCTAAGGATCTTTAGCTTATTTTAATGACAAGCATTTTGTTATCATAATCACCCCAGCTCTGTTTATAAATATACTCCCTGCCCAAGGACTATGCTGCTCCCAGCATCTGAATTCATCACATACCACACTCAGGCTTTTTCAGTCAAGAGTTCTGTCTGGGGCTAGGGTGAGTAGACCCTGGTACAAAATTCAGGGGGACAGAGAGAGGGCTAGAGCCCCTTTGGCCTCCCATAAATGGTGCCCTGCATTTAATCCTTGGCCTTTCTAACAAAAGAAATAGTTGGTTTTAAATGTGCGTGATACTGAAAAAACAGTTGTGTCAATGAGAAGTAGTTAGTTTACCCATACAAATTTTCAGTCCATACAATCAGTAGTAGAGACGTTAGCCAAATTCACTCTCAGTTATTGATTTTACTGTGGTTGCTATGATCAGAAATAAGACCACAATTTGACCCATTTAAAAAGAAAGACGCTCCTGATGAAAGAAAGAGATTAGATCAATCTTGTGATTTGCTAAATATGGAAAAATTTTAACTAACATTCAACCTAGGCCATGTAGTTGCAGGGAAATGTTGAGACATGCAAAGTGTCAGTTCTCCATGTCACACCTTAAAATACCATCAAAAAAGTTTCTCATGCCTGACTGTAGAAGGACCCCGTTGATTCCATTCAAACATTTTACAACTTTAATGATAACTGCCCATGCTGCTGCTGCCACTGAAGTCAGTGGTAAAGCTTCCAAATGACTTTGAAGAGAACAGGATTAAGCCCAGTGTTTCATGTAGTAGCTACTACAGCACAAGAATATTTGGCTTTACTGGACTTTAAAATTAGTTGGAGCACCAGCCTAGTTAAGACTCTGGTGGCCAGACCTACCAGTTACAGGAATAATTCCTGTCTGCTGGATCCTTGTTCACACAGCAGCTCCAGGTGGTTTTAACAATTTAATGTTTCTCTAGTGCAAACAAGGCTTGCTAAACAAATACTACATGATCCTTCAAGGAATGGAGCACGTCTCCTGCGAGGTGCTGAGCAATCTAGACTCCTACTGACGTAAATGTGAATCGAGGGCTCTCAATACAACATGGGGTCATGCTCATAATCCAACATTAAATCAATTAAATAAATTGATTTACTCTAGATTATTTATATATGTTAAATTTATATGAATAATTTAAATACAATTGACAGCAGAAGCTGACTTTATTTTTTTGAATATAGGCAGTCCCCGGGTTACGTATAAGATAGGGACTATAGGTTTGTTCTTAAGTTGAATTTGTATGTAAGTCGGAACTGGCTCCAGATTCAGCTGTTGCCACTGAAACTGACCAGGGGCTGACTACAGGAAGCAGGAGGCAGAGTTGCTCTGCCCCCAGCTTCCTGGAATCAGCCTGATCAGTTTCAACAGCTGCTCAATCTGGAGCCTGGGACAGAACAGCTGGGGCGCTGCCCGGTAGGTTCCCACAGGACCAACCCGGCAGCACCCCAGCTGCTCTACCCGAGGCATCCCGCAACAAAAGCCTGGTCTGCTGGGGGGCAGGCGCACTAGCTGCGCCCCCTCCCACCCCAGCAGACCATCGCCACCCGTGTCCTCCGGGGCGAGAAAAGCTTCTCCCGGTCTCCCTGGTCTGCTGGGGGAGTCCAGCAAAGCCGCTGGACCCCCCCCAGCAGACCAGGGGGACAGGAGCAAAGCCGCCCAGGCGGTGGGAGTCCCGCTGCCTGGGCGGCTTTGCTCCCGGGCAAACGAGCAAAGCCGCCCAGAAGGCGGCTTTGCTCGGGTGTCCCTGGTCTGCTGGGCGGGGGTCCAGCGGCTTTGCTGGACTCCCCCAGCAGACCAGGGAGACCGGGAGAAGCTTTTCTCGCCCCGGAGGACACGGGTGGCGACCCGCCGCCTGTGAGCTCCGGGGCGAGAAAAGCCCCGTTCGTAAGTGCGGATCCGACATAAGTCGGATCCGCGTAAGTCGGGGACTGCCTGTACAAATTCTTTTTTCCCTTAGCTCCTTGAAGGATATACCGGTAAAGTCAATATTACACATAACATGAATTTAAAATTTGTCTTATTCTTTGGGCAAACCATTAATGAATATCCATTATTTGTTTTAAAATGTAAAAAGAATATTTTTACAAATAGTTAAGTAACTGCAGCTTCATATAATCATTTTTATTTACCATTTTACAAATGATTTTAAGTCAGAAAAATATTTTGTTTTATACTTATTTCATGAACAAAAGACATATTTTTAGTAAAATCAGATTATAATCTCAATAGAGCACAGGTTATTATAGAAAGTAACATACCTGATGACTGACACGTCTGTTGTACAATGTATACAAAAGATAAAATGTTCTTTCATTACAACCTATCCTTGTTTAAATCCATTTTCAATATATATTGTGTGAAAATTCTCACTGTCTACTATTTATGAAATCAGGCTAAGTCATTCCAAACTTAAAAAAATCCTATTGAATTAAGAAACAATTCTGCTTAGGTTTTTGTTTATTTTAAAGTAAAAGCAGAAAAGACTTTACATGCTGAAAGTAAAAGTAAACAATCACTACTTAATACCTTTTTTGACTCAGCAGTAATTGATCATTGTTTGAATTAGTGCTGGAAAATGTAGTGTTGCTCTGACTAAGGCACCAGAATCATAGCTATTTTCTTCTTAAGGACATTTAAATGAAAACAAGCTCTTTGTTTCTTGGGAATGTATCTGTTTCTGCAGCTATTTCATCAATTTAAAATCATAATAATGTACTTATTACATCACAATGATTGCTATGGAAATTCTGATTTCATGTACAATGAGAATTATGAATATGATAATTTAAATGCAAAAATCCTGTTTTCATACAAATGGCCTTAGTAACAAAGGGCTCTAAGTAAGAAGAAATTATATGTAATATTCCAAAGCATGCGAGTTGGGAGCAATGCCCTAAACTGGCCTATTCAGAGGAAAAGTTGATCTGTTATGCAAGGTCCAAAGCAGCAAGCTCTGGATCTGCTTATTGAGCTTGTGCATTCCTGATTCTTGCTCAGCACTGCTGAGGAATAACTACAGCCCTTCAATTACCTCTTGAGAGATGTATGCTTACGAAAAGGACTTCAAGGCATTCAGGTATGGGAAATTTCTTACCTGATCCTTTCCTGTCTACTAGCAGCATTTCCCACAGAGCTTATACGTACAAGCTATTGATCTGCTGTCTGTAGTTTCTGGGAGCATTTCAATGCTGCTATAACAACCCCAAACTGGTCTTGTCTCATTTTCCAGCTTGCCACTATATGATTCATTCCAAGCTGTATAAAAGCCTTACACAATATGATTAACAATAGCTCTCATGCCAACTAATATATCATTATAGGAAGCTAACAGGCCTACAAATTGTAGATATAAACATTAAATTTCTCTTCTTATCTAGGAAGCAATCTAGGAAGGGTAGGCTTGCAGAAGAAGTTGCTATCAGAAGGAAAATTATCAAGTATTAAATTGCCCATTCTGCAATACACTGTTTCCAATGAGATGTAGGAGAAAAAACAAGCAGTGAACAGAAACAGGGAGTTCAAAATACATAAAGTCAAATGAGACATGGAAAGCACCTCACTGCAAACTAATTGCCAAAGTGGCATTTAGTACCAAAGAAGGCCTCTGAAGAGGATAGAAAATCCACCTTGTAGTCTATATATACATATGTTAGAGAGTTTGTGTGTTTGTCTGAATCCGCCCATCCATGTGTGAGTCCGTTTATTCAAGAAGTCCTCCTAAACGGTAAGAGGCAGAACCAACAAATTTGGTATGCAGCTTCCTCTTACCCCAACTTAAAGCAAGGTCAGGGTTTGGTTGTGCCAGGAAAAGAGGATGTTCCTGGAACTCGATTGTTTTCCATAATATGGAAAAAGAGGGGCAGTTATGCTCTGCAATTACCACAGGTGACAGTTATACGGCAGAATGACCACAGGGGAGCATTCGCACCAGGAAGGGTGTGGTCAACTGGGGCTGAGGCTCTCCCTACTGATGGACACTGGTCCAGGAAAGTGGCTCCTCTTCCCTCAAACTCCTCCCCCCGGCCCTTGGCCACAGTGCTGGATGGAGGGGGAGCCCTGCTGGTCAGCAGCCCCGGCCCTCCCAGGATCCACCAACTGCCAAGCAGTGCAGCCCCGCGCCCTTGTGCAAGGAGCCGCCAGGCAACCCAGTCCCAGCCCTCCCCACTGACAGCCAGCTGGGGGCAGCCCAGCCCCATCCCACTCCCACCGAGGATTTGCCAGACTGGGAGGAGGGTGGGGAGGAGCTGGCGGCTAGGAGGACCGATCCCCAAGGAGGAGCTGCCATCAGAGCAGTGCCACTCTCGCCACCATATGTGGTCTCAGTAAACCCCGATGTCACAGCTCCTTGACCTGAGCTACCCTACCTTGAATACTTCACTCTCCCAGTTTGAGCCCTCCCCCCACCTCCCACTCTTTGACTTGAGTCCCTGGTCCCCTGCCCTGATTCCTGTACCCCCAACCCAGTCTCCAGTCCCCCCACCTCCCAGCTCCCTCCCCTGATTCCTGAACCACCACCTTCTGCCCTAACTCCTGCACTCCCACACCCTCAGTCCCCTGCCTTAAGCCCCCCCAACCCAAGCCACTGCCCTGAATCCTCCACTCCCCACACTTGCAGCCCCCTGCCCTGAAGGATCTAGCAATACTGGATAAATCGAGTATCCTACATAGGTGTTAACAGAGGGCCATGTTGCTGCCCTATAAATCTCTGCAGCGAAAATTGATTCTTTCTGTTCATGAAGTTATCAGAAACCTCATGAAAGATGCTTGACTTAACCAGCAACAGATAAACCTGATGTCTTCTATGCATCCACAACATACAATTTGAGCCACCTGGCCAGGGACCATTTCAATGCCAAGAGCCTGTGGCAATCTGGATAAAAGGACTTGAACAGGAAACCCAGTCTTCTTTTTGATTCATGATATTTGCTACAGCCCTGTAGAGCTCTATAAACCATCCACATTACCTTACAGCTTTTCTGTAGGGTGCTATGGTTTTGGACAGAATGATGGAAGTAAGAGAAGTTGAGTTCACCTTGGCAAAAAAGATTCTGGGGTCCTTACCACCACCTTGTCATCATGGCATACACAATGAGGTTCTTAAAAGTTGCCAACCCAGCTATCTAGCTATGTGCGTGACAGAGAGGGAAGGTTTTGGTTTGTAAGCACTATCTACCAGTCCTATCCAATTTTCCCACAAACAATGAATTTGGATGAGCACAGGATTTGTTTGGAGTGACTGTCTTGTAGGGTGTAGAGGTCTTATTTCTAGAGTCCTTGGATTTGCAGTTGGGAAAAAGAGAGACTGAGTAGGAGCCTGTCTCTTTCTTGAAGGAACTCAGGACCCACTTCATTATCTGGGGATGGGGCGGGGGAAGGGGAGGAGGAGAAGATGGGAAGGACATGGTGCCCCTTAAGAGTGTTCCTTATGGACCAAGGCTGGACAGGGACTTACCCCCAAAGCTGGCTGACTGGCATTGTCCTTGGATTCTCTGACACGTTCTGAGTCTGTACATTGGGCATTTCTGCATTGGAACTGCAGCTCGTTGGGGTGGGGATGGAGGGGAATCCTTACATGCCAGTCCAACTCCAAGACCCTGAGCCCTGGCAGAGTGAGGGATGACTGGCTGTGAACAGGCTGGCAATAATTCACTCTCTGGAAACCCTATAAATGCACATATGGGAATGCTAAGCTTGGTGTGTTCGGAGCAGCTCTGAAAAGCCTGAAGGGGAACAGAGGAGTCTGGTAGAAAGACACCATTGTGCTGGATCCAGCTCAGACTGAGACCAGGACATTGGTCTCTATCAGAACCAGGGATGTGACAAGAAAGGAAAGTAAAGGTCGCTCATTTCTATCCCAAAAAACTATTAAAGATGAAAAAGAAATGTTGGAGAGTAAAGTGAACCAGCTGAGGCAGTGACACAGGATTGAACTGCTCCCCCCCACCGCACCCAAGCCTGCAGCTCTGAAGAGAATAAGCCAAATATACATCAGGGCAGTGAGAGATGCTCAGCTGCAGAAAGCTATATCTATTCCACATTCATGTTGCACACTAATCCATTCACGTAAGTTCGGCTAGTGCACTTTGCAGTAGTGTCGTCTGAAAGGGCATACAGCAGTGTTATTTCGGAATAACGCCAGTTATTCTGTAATAACATATTGCGCATCTACACAGCAAGCCCGTGATTTCAAAATAAATTCAAAACAACAGGCTTCTTACTCTGACTTCTATAAAGTTCACCGTATGAAGAGTAAGGGTACATCTACACTGCACGGCTATTTCAGGATATCGGAGATATCCACCATGCATCTACACAAACCACCTCATTTCGAAATATTTTTCGAAATAACGGGCACACTATTTTGCCATGCCGGTAAATCTCATTGCATGAGGGATAAAGAATGGCTCGAAATAGCATGTTATTTTGAAATTTGGTGCTGTATAGACATACCAAATTTCAAAACAGATTCAAAATAAGATACATAATTTGCATAGTGCAAATTACATATCTTATTTTGAGTTTAGGGACGCACCCAAAGGGAAGTTGGAGGAAGAGTGCGCTACTTCAAAATAAGTGCTGCGTAGACATGCCCAAATTCGAAATAAGCTCTTTCGACTTAAGCTATGCAATTAGCGTAGCTCAAGTTGCACAGTTTAGTTCAAGTTTAACCCTGCTGTTTAGATGTACACAAAGAGTATTACATTCAAACATACTAGGGAACCTTTAGTGAATATCAACAGTCTCTATCAATTAATGTAAAATGTATTAATGCACTTTAGATGGCACTTCCCATGTAGATAAGCTCTCGGTTTGTTCTCCAGTATCATTACTCAAAGGCCAGCTACAGTTTACTATGGGAAGAGAAAATTAATGTGCAACTACATATGACCAAATCTAGCCTTATGCAACTGCATCCATTGCCCCCTCTGGCTACATCTAGACTGCTGCTTTTTAATCGGAAAAAGGTACACAAATTCTGCAATTTGCGTACCTTTTTCCAAAAGTTTTGTCAGAAGAGACTTTTCCAAAATTTGGCCCATCTACAGTGAGCCAAATTTCAGAAAAAACTCTTCTTTCAGAAAAGCCCTCAAAGAGCGCATCTGCTCTTCCACAGAAAATGTCAGAAGAGCAGACGTGTTCCCTGGATGCGGCGGAGTTTTACTGGGATACCTCCGGAGGTTTCCCAGAAAAACGCCGTAGTCTAGACATAGCCTCTGTGAGTGAGCAGGAACCATGATGACAGACTTGGGCTCACTAATGCTTCAACAACTTCTGTGGCCTGCACGGATACAGAAGACAAGTGGAACAAAGGAAAAGGAGCCTATGATAAAAACACGTTAAGTACATGCAGCTCGGGAAGCATCTGCAACATGAACTCACCACTTTCCCGTGTACTTCCACAGCTTTGGCTGTTTTTTGTTTCTCTTGACACTTATGTAGCAAGTTGACCTGTCTCTTGATTATCTCAGACCACTGCAATTACCACATTTCCCCCCGCAAAGTTACTAGCATATAGCAAGATGGCCCTTTATAATGATAAGGTAAGAAATAAAGATAACAGTAATGATATAAGCACAGTTGTTTCTAAAATAATATGATTTTCAAATATTTATAAAAGGCAACTGAAAACCCAAAATTCCAAAAGATGTTATTTTTACTAAAATTTAATTTTGCAAAATGTTTGTCTTGTTACCTGTTTTATTTTACTGTGAATAAATTCTTGTTCATCGGAAGATTTTATTGTCACTATTTCACCACGAAGCCAACCACAAATGAACTCAAAGATGGCCCACTCTGAGGCACTAATATGAAAGAGATATTCTGCTCCTTGATAATAAGACAATGGGGGTTCTAAAATAGAAGCAAAGGATTCAAATGCATTGTGAAAGTTTTAAGACTTCCTCTGGATTCTTCCATGGGTTTAACATAAAACCTTTTATTAATTGTTTTTATTCATAGCTTAAATACATAATTCCAAATAATAATTTTTCAAGAGGTAAAAACGAAAACATGCCTTTTCTTACCATGTATGTACCAAATTGGACTCTTTGGCTTAACACCTGTAAAGAAATAATAATTAAGAAGCAAAATCTCACACACCAACCATACAGTAGAACCTAACAAAAATAATGTAAATTACTTTTTATTCAAAAAAGAATAAAATAAATATTGGGCACATAGTTTTTAAATTAACAAGACACTTTTCAGCAACAAGATAAGGCACTTGTTCTAGATTTCAGCTGAACATACATCACATACTGCTCATCAGCTTAGGTCAATTCTAAAGTACATGCACATTGAAGGTATTTTGCAAATGGAATACCAATATGAATCCAAAATCTAAGGGTATTACAGCACTGCTTTCATTCTGTGCAGCAGAATTCCCATTAATATCAACATGGAGCTCTGGCTTAGAATAAGAACACTCTACGGCCCATAAATATTTCCCGTTTCTTTTTATTACAACATAATAACTAATTATAAGTATCATACATATAGTTTAACAACTCTTACCTTTTGGTATTTTGCATATCCATTCACGCTTTCCATTGCAATGCAATGGCAGGACTGTTCTATTTACTTGGTATGCTGCACAATTTCTTGAATCATCTTCAACATATATGTTCTGTAAAAATGCAGATACAACCTGCAAGAGACCAATGCTTTTATCAGCCATTACTTTGATTCCTAGATAAGATGTTTGAAAGTTTTGATACAAAATTAAATGTGTTTAGAAATGTATACGTTGCTTCATCAGATGACTAATAAACCAGGCGTACTTGAAGTATGGCAACAAAGTCCTAATATGGGGTCTACATCTACCCTCTTCCCGGACCCTATTCAGCACTCCTTACTCATTTACATATATTTTTTCACATAGTTAACTGAGCAACATTAATATATATATTTGCCAGTCCAGACAATGGCTGCACCCTGTCTAATGTCATTTTTCCTCTGTGTTCAAAGTGTTGTGTGACTTGTATTTTGTACCCATATTCTACATATATTTTAATCATGTTTTTATTGTAGTCTGTTTCTGGATACAATTCTAATTATTATATTTTTTCTGGATGTCTCTTCCTGCCCTTGAAATACTCTATTACTTTTGAATGCCATTTAATATTTCAAACAATATTCGCACATTTTGTGTGCCAAATCAAAATTTATTACCATTTAGGTAATGGCACAAGAAATGTGATTTAATCTGCTAATTCAAAAGCAGCTTAATATTAGTGAATTGGACAGGTGTGAGGGAAGAGTCTGTTTTGTCTGGCCACACTGGCTCTTTGGAAGGTTTGTTTTTAAACTGTAGTTTCATGTTCAGACATAATTTAATAGGGTCTTAGAATATATAACACATGAATATTTACAGGAGTTCCATCGGACCACACCCATGTTCCTCCAGACAAGGGATTTCTTTTATTAAATCCAATCCAGAATTGTCTTTCGTCCACCCTGTGACCGACAAAAGAAGAAAAAAAAGTTGAAGAACACTCCTGATACATTCATCTTATCTAGCTCTGTGAAGCCTTTTTAAAATGTATAAGTAGCATGCATATCTATAGCAAATTCTGGTAATTTAGATGTGTCAAATTGTGATTCATTTATTAGAGTTCTTAGCAGGACTAATGGCATCAATAAAATAATTTCTATTTCTCTTACAAAAAATACGTTGTTACTTATTTAAATATGGCAATGTTAAAAATAGTGAATCAGATGGTAAACTTCTATCTACACGATTACATTGACTTTTGATTATTCATAGATTGAATTATTACTTCGTAATGATAAGGATCTGTGCCAGATGGTGCATGTCTTGACATAAAAGTACAGGCAATCCCCGAGTTACGCAGATCCGACTTATGTCGGATCCGCAGTTATGAACGGGGCTTTTCTCGCCCTGGAGGACTCGAGCAGCGGGACGCCCAGATGTGCCGTGGTCCCGCCGCCCACGTCCTCCAGGGTGAGAAAAGCTGCTCTGCGTCTCCCTGGTCTGCTGGGGGGAAGCCCCCCAGCAGACCAGGGAGACGTGGAGCAAAGCCGTGGAGCACGCAGGCAGCGGGACCACAGTGCATCTCGGTCCACCGCCCGCGTCTCCCTGGTCTGCTGGGCGGGGGGGGGGGGGGCGACGCT